AAAGGAAAACAAATCGCGAAATATGCGGTATTAAAGTAAAACAAAAACACAAAAGCGCATGAAAGAAAGAAAAAAAAAACCAAAAAAACAAAAAAATCTAGCGCGTTGGAAGTAGCGAACATTTACGTTTTGCGAGTTTGCGAGTTTGCGAGTAAAATTCGATGGGGAGAATCGCAGAAGGAGAACCCGTTGGGGACATACAGGCCAGAGGACAGTCTTGTGCAATTCCGGATGTACGCATGAGATTATTCGGGTGACGTATCGAATCAGCGGACAAAGATATATGCCAACATGGTCTTTCTTAATGAACATATCCGTCGCAGATTTCTGCAAACGCAGTTGGTAGGATTGAATCGGCCAGTTGCTACGGCTGAGCTTGCATTATCCCATGAATTCTATAGTGACAATGTTGATGCAGACTTTACGACTTTATGCGTACTTAATCGAGCCTATAACAATCTATGAAAGATATATTTTTTTTCTTTCGGTGCGTTCGACAATTTTCCTTCTTTGTTCTCTCCGTTTTGAAAAAAAAAAAAAAAAATAAGCTACGGGGATGGAAATCATGCAGAAAATTATTACGCTGTTGATTCGTTGTGCCAATTGTGAAATAATTGATTATCCTCCTAATTCATTGCGTATAATTTATTGAAAACTTGTGATAACGGCCCTCGGTAAATAGGTTTTTCTTTTCTTTTAAATTGTTTTAAATTATTGATAATTTACAATTAGCCGTGATTGTGACGCTATTTGCATGCTGATATGACAAATTAGCGCGAATATGTCGACAATCTTACATTCGGATCAAAATTTCACGGATGTAACGGTGATTGTCATTACGGAAGATAAAATGGCATTTTCAGCTTTAATAAATTCCATGCTATTGGATTATTTGCAACAATTAACTTCCATTACAATCGCGCGCGCGCATAAAAGTACCTTAATTTTTTCTGTAGTTTTCCTTTTGTTTCGCGTGACTCTTTGCTCGATTTGCGTCATTGAAATGAACACGACGATAAATTCACAATTCAAAATAGAGGATGCGAGCTAAGAAATTTAATTCAATATTATTTCGTGCTTTAAGAGTTACGAATGCCTAGTTACGAATCGCTTTTTTAATTCCAGACTTCCTTATTTTCTTCAAGCACGGTCGATAAACCTCTCGGAAACTTTTTTTCTTTTCTCTTCTCTTTGTGAGGGGCAATATTTTAGGTAGAGCGTTCGAAAAAAATTAATCCATAAGCCGCTTACGCATTGTGAATACTGTAAATAATAGTAGGAGAATATATCAGCTGTCAAACTATCTCAAATACTTTATAAAAGACCTTGATTTGGCTACACTTGGAATTTTTATTTTCCAAAGAATGCGATGAAACGTATTTTTAAATAGTTGCCCGGGCACAGTTTGAAACTATTTTGCACTTTAACATCAACATCGACGTGCTACTTGAGTATAAGATTTGTATAATACGATTTTCGTATGGCCAAGATGCAATTTAGTTGAGCCCACACTTTTCCAAATTAATCCACATAATCCAACAAATGATAATAATATTTATAACTTATCGGCACTTTTAATTATTATGCTAAGGAGTTATACAAGAGAGTAATACATATTAATAATACCACTGCGTTTGTTCGTATATTCAATAGCGCGATAACATGAAAACTCTAATGACTCATTATTCGCATCATCATACATTTGTTACAAGTTTATCAAAGAACGTTAAACTTTTCGGATAAATGACGAGAATAATTAGAAATATAACTAAAGCATAACGTTACCATGACTTGTACGTTAATAATCCCCTCCATATTTACGAAATCGAGTGTAGAAAACTCAAGTTAATTAATAGCTTTAACCGATATGGCCGGGATGTTTACAGCGTAGCATATCGGATCGCTCGCCACTATAGTTTTGATTTTTCAGAGAACTTTTTTTAAAAGTATAGAGACTCGTCGGTATATTGGTAGGGGATAAAATTGAAAATTTCCAAGAGCTAGGCGAATTCCGAGTGAGCCTCGATACGTCATTAAAATCATAAAAATAATTAGCTCGCTCGTGATTCCTCGTGTTCGTCGTCTCGCAAAACGGTCTGAAAATTCCAAAGTTCGCGCTTTACTATTATCCCCTTACACGTCGACGAATTCAAACTTGGGCATTCTTATTGTCCTATCATAAAGTCAGCGTATCAGTGGTGGGGCGCGATGAAGAAAAGGGCGAAGAGGGCGGAAGGATCCTCTCGTTGAAGAATCCGAAATCGCGATTGTGACTCGCCGCACTTGACGTGACGAGCATTGGGGAGACGAAGATGAGCGGCTCTCGACGATCGCAGTCTCCTCCATTCACATCGATACCCATACCAATCACCCCATTGGGAATTGGGGCCGGGCGGGGGGACGAGGCAGGCAATTTTAACCTCTCGTCCCGTCTCCTATTTTACCTACACGGACTCGCAGTCGCCACTCGAACGAGAGCCGCCAAGTGCCTCCACGTATTTACCATTGAACACCTTGTATTCCCGGCCACTTATTCTTTCTAAATTCTCGAAACTTTTATACTGCCCCCACCCCCTCCGCAACGATACCCTTACGTATAATATCTTCCTCCTCCACTTATGGGATCTATGTTATATCGGCCTACTCGCTCCTCTCATTAGGAAGACGGATTAATCGTGGGATTGTTGTGAAGTGAAAGGCCAATAGAGTGGACGAAAGCGTTAAATTAAGTCACATCCGGTCGCGATGGTTCCTTGAGATTGGGAATACGGAGTGACAGAGTAATGTCTTAATGTCGCAATGAAGCGACTTCCCGCCCAAGAGCGTGGCAAATTTTGAAAATGTAAATCTGAAAATAAGAGCTTATGCCGACCCACTTTCTCAACATAATGGAAAGTTCTTCCTTCTCTCGCCGTCTCGATAGCAGGGACAACGGCGCTTTCGCTCAGCTCCGAAACGAGCTCGGTATCCCCGGTAGCTGCGCGTGTATATATGTCCTTCTTCTCGTTCTTTGCTTCGAAGTTTCTGTTCGCCTTTCTCACACGAGCGCGTGGCCCCGGAGAAAATACCATTTCCAGATACCATTTCTATCTCGTGATAGAAACGCGCGTAGTTTCTCTTCGCGCAGTCCGCCGACTGAGAGGCAAGTAAGTACCCGGATCAAACGCGAGAAATAGAAAAAACCGAATAAGATAAAGGATGGAAAAGACAGTGAGAAATTAAAAGACCACTGGCTGCGATTGATGATGATTATTTTTTTTTTTTTTTTTTTTTTTTTTTTTTTTTTTTATGTACAATTATGGGCAAGATAGGTGTTTGAGATTAAAAGTTGAGAAAACACGAGGCGAATAAATTATCCATCCTATGCGTATAATGATTTTTTTTTTTTCGTTACAACATTCTGAGTTTAAAGACTTTGGTTGAAGAAAAGTAATGTTGTATTTAATCATATTATTTAACAGATATACTCATCATTATTATGAGCAATGCCTGACAATTCTCATTGCAAAAATATAATAAATCACATTATTATACTCTCCCACAAGTTATCTGCTGGTATCTCTTGTATATTTTTTTATCTTATTGTATATTCTTCGGATATATATACTTATTCTTCTAAATCCAATATAATATCCGAGATATTATATATTTAAGCACGAGCTTACGCGTCGGCATAATCTTACAAACTAATCTCATCTTTCGCGTTATCATACATTGCATCGCGAGTCCAGTCTGACCCTCTCTCCGTGCCCTCTTCTCGTCTCACTCTCCGATACATGAAACAGTTGACGTAAACGAAGCAACGGTAAGTTGAAAATAAATAAAGAATAAAAGTTAAAAATAAGAGACACGATGATTGAGAGAATTGTGCACCCGACCACCCACGTGTCAATGTGGGCTTCGACTCGTCATCGCACATTGCGCTTCCACACACTTACGCTCGCTCTTTCGCTCATTCGTTTATGTAGAACTTTAAGTAATTGCACGTGCTGCATATGGTGATTTATCACGTACGGCTTCTTGGGACGGAGGAGCTTGTTTTTTTTTTTTTATTTTTTTTTTTTTTTTTTTTTTTTTTTTTTTTTTTTTTTTTTGTAGGGTGGGGACGAGAAATCATGTGGAGTTTTATCGGCGAGAGTCGACCAATGATCGATAGTGTCGATTCCAATTCATAAGCAGGCTTAGGTGTATATAAGCTGACCGGTCGATTAACTCCTAAGGACGTAGGACGTAGATAATGATTTATAGGGAGGGAAAAAATCGCTGGCCCGGCTTATCATTTACTTGCCTTGGCGATGCTCACCGTGGCCTCTTCTGTGTCTCATACAATTTTTCTCCTTTCTAACTTTGGCCACACTGTATCATTACCGATGCTTGTTTAACATATAAATCAAGTCAATTATTAAGTAGCCATAAAAATTTCATTGCATACGTTGAGGCGGATGGATGGGCTGATTGAAGGCCGATGTAAATAAAAATATGGCAAACGTAAGGGAATGAAAGCATCGGGTATTTTGAATATTAAATAAGTTATATCGATACGGTTTATGATATCTTATGATATAAATTACCTTTACTGTAAACTTTTCATACAACTCACTTGCAGCCTTGCCATACTGCACTTATTATTAATTAGATTCAATTATGGACAAATACCACGGCTAAGCATCATTTTAACATTATTTACAATAGGTAAACTCGAAAGAAGTATTAAGGCTTATTAAAATTTTAACATATTAGACAGAATTTAACATAGTTTAAGGATATAATTAATTCATATTTGAATGTAAGTGTATGAAGAGGAAAAACTTTAATTGAAATTAAAGGGAAAAAAAAACGTTAATCACGCCAAATTTTATTGTTTGACCAATATTCTTATTTAATATTTTATCGCTGCATTAATCTACTTTTGTTTTCCTTTGTTGTTATTTTTTCCTCTCGTTGAAAATATCCTTATACTCTAGAAAAGACTCCTTATGTTCGTTGTGTATTTGTTTTAGGCCAGAATGACATCAAGAAGCTGCGTCGCGAAAACGAACAGCTCAGGAGAGAAATATGGAGTCTGCGGGACGAATACGACAAACTCGAGGAGATCTTGAAGAAGCAAAAGAACCGAGAGGAGAGCGACGATACCGAGGTTTGCACAATATATATAAAACGATCTTGGAGATTGACTTTATTGATTTACCGGTAAGGAGGAGAGGGAAGGGAATAAGATTAATTAAACATGGCTTTTCTTTTCACAAATATTAGAGTTACGATTAATTAATATAATTTCATTTGAGTTAATTTATTCAAAGATATTTTAAATATTCATAGATCATCGGTATAAAAGAAAAGTAATTTACGATATTGGTTCGGCTATGTGCTATTATTACTTTATATTTTTGAAAATATATAATATATATAATTGAAAATAATGACAAAACAATTAGAAATAATTAACGACAAGAACCATTGTTAATGTATACGGGATATGACACTTTTTACATAATAAAATAGGAATTGATAATTAGACGTAACAAATATATGTTCTATCGAAGAGTAATTTAATCTTTACCTTGGCGATTGAAAAGGATTAATTCTTTCGCAAATTTCTTTTCTCCTTTACTTGTCATTTTAATTTTATGAATTCATTTATTTTTAATTTTCATTTATTTATTATTATTTTATTTTTTTTTTCACATAAATGATTTAAATGCCGGATAAACTGATGGCACGGTTTAGCTTAATCATAATAGTATTAAGAAAACATTACATTTCTCCAAATAATTTATTATATCTCATATTAATTAAAAAAAAAAACATTAAAAAAAAACAAATTTCAATAGATATTCCGATGATACGTGCTCAAGTATTTGCAAAACAAACTCGATAAATTGTTTATGTTTTTTTTTTTTTAAATAAAATTTTTATCAACGCCATAGAAGGAATATTTTTATAAATATTTTATTTTATAAGATTCGATGTGAGAAATTACGAAATTTAAATTTTGAAAATCAATGTCGAAATTTGAACTATCAAATAAGATTTATGCTACTCTTCGGGTAATTAGCGCGTAATTAGCACACATTATAATAAATACCGCGATTAAAAAGGACTAAGCTATGATAAAATATGAAGCCTTCGGCCCATCTCATACGGAATCTATATTAATGGTGGTTTTGTAATTTAAAATTTTTATACGAATTTTATGGGATGTCATTTAATGGATCGCCATTGAAGTATCATCGACCGCAATAATCAAGTTTACGCAAATGATTTCCGTACTTTCTTTATCGTCGTGACTCCAATGCTATTCCATAATTATGAATATTTTTTTCATTTGAGACACGACGATTTATATATTATCATCATTATTGTTGTTGTTGTAATTATAATATTATATTTAATACTTCATATTAGTAAGAAAAATACTGGACGTAATTTTTTTTCAAATTAATATTTTTTTAATTAATTTATCGGTATTTTCTCTTTCGCGTATTCGGCATGCGTAGAGTTATTTTCTCGTACTATCTCTATGGAATTCTATTAATTACATAAATAGTTGATAAAGCATTTTAGCAGTTTGGTTGATAAATATGCACGTACATAAATTCAGGCTAGAATGCATGAATACTGATTAATGGGTGGAGTCGTCACGTGCCGAAAATTCGACATTAAATTAAAAAAAAAAAAAAAAAAAAAGGAAGAAGGAGGCACACGAGGTCGGGCACAAAAATTCTTACACGACTCAGCGTTTATCGATACCGCAGAAACGACGAGATTTGCTCGCTCGCAGCGTCGAACGGTGGCGGTAAGGCTTCAATTTCCTGAAATTTTAAGGACCATCTCTTTCTAGCTAGCTTTGTGCGCAATTAAGCGGGATTAAAATGACGGTGGTAAAATATTTAACGGGCTGCTTTTCTTACTGATCCTTGAGTGGCTTTTTCTCAACTCATCCCTAGTTGCTGCTTCACCGGTATGTGCGAACACTGCGACACTATGTGCGACTCCGCGTCAGCCCGTAATGTAACCAATTATTCATTTTACTACCGCAATCTCCTCCTCTTACTCCCGTACCGCGATATCGATTATTCCATTGCCTTCTCGTCCTTACATCCATTCGCTCTTGAAATTTGCGTTAAAAAATAATAACAACCACAACCAACAACAACAACAATTACAACGACGACTACAACAACAATAATAATGATAATAATGATAATTATATCCGGTTTCTATGTATGTGCGTCAATTTTTTGGCCCAAAGAATTATTAATGGGCGGGTATGAAGGATTTTATGGTCCTTCATTTACCGAGGTATATCATAAAACGTCGCAACGTATTGGCTGGCTGCTAAGACCATAATCTCATAAAAATGTTTACTTTTTCCTACGCGCGTTTCGCGAATTCGGAATAAGAGATTATATCTAGGGATTTTCCGAATAAAGATGAGAGGATGGGCTGTCAAAATATCGATAGCGCATGCTATATTGATTTCACCCTAGACGAACATGTAAGCCGCGCCGAGCGTAATGTAATCTAATTTAAATAAAAGTCTTGGCTGTGTAGGTTTTTATGTTGACTCGTGCCTCGTAATCCAACGTTTATGGTGAAATAGTTACCCACGCCATGCTGCGCCATGAAATTTTTAGTTAATTAATGCTCGTTTCACACAAATTCTAATCATAATAATGATTTCGATATTATTATCCCACTCTCGATCTCCCAAAAAGAATAATATAGAAAATTTTCGTATCTTTCGATTGATATTTCAATTTATTATCTTTCTAGGATCGTTCAGAGGATGAAACTAATGCTACGGAGTTTTGGGATGACGATGATGACGATGATGTCGAAGACGACGACGACGACGACGACGACGACGACGACGACGACGACAACGAAGACAATGACGACAATGACGACAATGACGACAATGACGACAATGACGACAATGAGAACAATGATAACGACGACAACAAGGAAGAGGATCCTGATAAAGAAAACAATGCCAACGACCTGGAATCCAATTCGGATGACAATACACGGCGGAATTGTAATCAGGAGGAACGCCTGGAGAACGCCGAAAACCAGAAGATTTCATTCGAAAAGATAAACAATGGTGGCGGCAATGCGCAGCATCGGCAGCGAATAAACTTTGACGACCTGTCGGTAGTGGACGAGGAAGAGGAGCCCAAAAAGAATAAAGACAGGAGGGAGGTGGTATCGAGCGCGCAGACGACCCGGCAACTGACTAGCGCGCAAACCAACCAATTCCCCTACCTTCCCAGCACCTTTGACGGCAAGTGCCTTTTAATGACAAACCGCCCGTCGTGTCAGCAGCCGCAGATCATTTCGCTAGATCCTCGGGCTACATCGAGTCACAGAAATCCCAGCCACGCCGCTCTCGCGCACACACAACCCGACGACGAGCCCACCTCCCGCTGGATGGCAAGGGAATGCATCGAATCTAATGCAAGCTACGGGGACTCCCATGAGCACGTCGACATTTCCATTTGTCGCCGAGACAGAGACGCTGACCTTGGACTTTCGCACCGCCTCGGCAAAGGAACCCTCGGTCCAGTCGGCCGAGAGCGTTGGCGGCGGTGGCGGCGGTGGCGGCGGTGGCGGCGGTGGCGGCGGCGGCGGTCAGTCGATCAATCTTGGCGTTTCGAAGCCTAATCCAATGACGTCGGCCATGTCGGCCAACTTGGCGGAGAGGAGGAAGGCCTTCTTTAAGCAACAGCCGGAGCCGAGACCGAGCTACGGGACTCGGATATTTGGTAATGGCGAGTCGCGGCCACTAGGTTGGCCCGTGGAGAGCAGCGTGCACGAGAATAAGCGAATAATCGAGAGTTCGGATATTCCAATGGCTGATGCGCCCACGAGTCTGCTGGAGGAGACGCCGAGGCATTTCTTCGCCCCGCTCGTATCGAGATCGAGATTCCCGTGCGTCGGGGCGCCGGTCGCTAAATGCCTAGAGGAGGATGGACAGTCGAATAACGGGAATAGCTCGAGCAGCGAAAAAACAACGTCGAACGTCGTGTCAGGATGTCGAGCCAGTTATGAGAAAGGCTCGGCCGACATTTGCGTGAACGGGGCCATATCGTATAATGGCGGCGATCGGATCGAGAAGGGGGATGCCAAGGCTTTCTTTAGCTCGGAAAATCTATTTGTCGTCGAGGATACGGCTAAGAACGGATCGAGCGATATCTCCGGCAATCCGTTATCGAAATCCATATCGTGTCAGGATCTGAGTGGGCGCGTGCCGTTTAACGAGCGCCTCAAGTATTCGAGGGACGATGGCAATCATGCGAAAAGTGACGTTACTCTCGACAATATGACATCGAGCTCCAAAGCATTTCGTAGTCAGCTAAACGTCACGCTGAGAGCATTTCAATCGCCAAGCCCAGATGTTCCAGAAATACCAAAGCTGCCATCTATAGACTATAAGTTATTTAATAATCCATTGCTGCAAAATTTCGAGCAAGCTTATCAAAATTTTCCCGTTCGCAGCGAGGGCCAGAGTCCCTTGGCGCATCCTCTGTCCATTCAAGTTAGCGAGAGCCCAGTCACCGGGACAAAGTACTCAAGTCCCGTGAGGGTGCAGCCAAGTTTCACGGGCCCCGGCACATCCGACTCCGACTGTGGCACGTGCAAACGCAAGAACATCGAGCGCCTACGGCTAATGATCCCGCCGGCAAAACTCGTGGACCGTAAAGGGGACAGGCCGGAGTATCACATAACGTCGTTCGAGACACCAAGTCCACGTACCGTACAAATACCGCCGATGACTGCCTTGGAGGTCGAGGAGGGGCTGCGTCGACTGCCGGCGCGCGCGACTCCCGCTCAGCAGAATTCGAGACTTTATCAGAACGTGCCGTTCGTGCCACGAGGAGCGGCCGTCTATTGTCCGGGACAGGGCATGAGGATGTATTATGACACGGGGTCGATGAAGGTTCCAGCCCAGACTCAAACTTCACCACCGGAGGACGAAGCAGCGGCTAGGACCGGTGAGGGCGAGGAAAAGCCGACGCCAATGGTCGAGGAGAATGCGCAGCTGAGGCACGATCAGACCCCGAAGAAGCGGCGCTCGCGCAAAGAAAAGTCCGGCTCGGTTAAAGAGAAACGGAAATCTCAGGGCTCCCAGAAACGCAAGGATCAGCCGACGAAGCAAGCGAGCCTCGCTTCCGAATCATCGGGGAAGCTCGTAGCGAGCGGTCGCGTCACTGACTCGCACGATGATAAAAACGAGAGTAGATCGTCATCGTCTGGGCAAGAGTCGCCCAAGAAGGAGCAGCAGACCAAGAGGGTGTCCTTATACTTTAGTACCAAGAAGCGCCCGTCACTGAACTCGGTTAGGACCTCGAGAAGTCGAAGCGTCGAGAACACGAAGGAAAGGATGGTCACGAGAGATGATATTCTAGAAGGTAACGCGACGAATTTCGAAAGAGAAAGAACAAATTCAATAAGCAGCCGAGAAATGGGCGTAAGAGAAAAGATACGAAAAGCGAGCACCAGTAGTGGCAATGTACCATGGTGTGCGTGTTGGGGAAACGGATGTATTTAATATTTGTATACGCTACTTGCTCGATTCATTGTAACGCAGTGTTGATTAAAAAAAATAAATAAATAAATATATATATATATATATATATATATATATATATATATATATAGCGTAGTCACTTGAGCCTGCGTAACAATTCTTCAATACACGCGTGCGCGTACGTACAGCCATAAAAACAAACAAACAAACAAACAAACAAACAAACAAACACACACGCGCACGCACACGTGCGTACACAAACACGTTCAATGTTTATTGGCAAGAGGGAAAGAAAAAAACAACAAAAACAAAAGGACGATAATTTTGTTATGGAGTTTAGTGTTATCATAGCTTGATTATATGAATTAACTGTTGGTAGACTTTTAGAGCTGTTTTATAAATTTTATTGCAGCGCGTAAGGATTTAGGTAGATCATAGGCTCTATTAAATATTATTATCTATTATATATTATGTATATAAATTTAATCATTTTCACTACTTAGAATTTATAACTTACAATCCACAATTACATTGTGACACTTGTATTTCTCAAATGGAATAATTAATTTATACCGCCATTATCGTCATATGAAGAGCTGCCATTTTATAATAAGCGGTATAAATTAAAAACACGTGAAAGCATATAAACGATAGTTCATAATACTTACATAGAATTCGTAAATGTCGATTAAAATTATATTATGTACGATAGTAAAGTAAATTATAATGAATACTAATACTGAAAACATTGGCTTTATTATCCCGAATTTATTTATTACAGCAATGAATATTCCTAGATGCGAGTCACGCTCTGCGTCAGCCTAAAATTAATATTTAAGATATTTAAGCGTAATCCGTTTACCGCTTCTTTTGGATTAATATTATTAATAGGCGATGAGATTATAAGCAATAATACGTTATAATGTCGGGAGATTCGTAAGACTTCCTTTGTATGGCTTTTTGTCCTTACGAGCTTACGCCATCAGATTTGTGTTACACGAGCTTATTAGAGGCTTAATGCACAGTGACATCTATGTGGTGGTGGTGGTGGTGGTGGTGGTGGTGGTGGTGGTTGTGTGGTGTGTGGTGTGTGTATGGGGGGGGGGGGCACATATTTCATATTTAGGGAATTCAATAAAAATCGATTCGTCGTCTGCTACGGAAAATATAATAACGAGAGGAGAAAAGATCGGGGGTCCGTCCCCCTTTAATCGCACGATCGCTCATTATTTTGTCTATAAAACAACTCTTTAACCGGAGCTTAATAAATGCTCCGGCATTTATCTAAATGCGATGACCTTCTAATTATAAATTATACACGGTTAGTCGACGTGAGAATTAAGATTGCTTAGGGACTAGATTTTGGGGGCGAAGGGGATCTAGAGAATCGCGAGGCAATTCGGCGAGCGCACCTGCTAGATTATCGATTATCCCCATCCCGCGTTCCGCAATCGCTCGGCTAATAAAGATAAAGGCTCGCGCAAAATTTATTAATAGCCAGGACGTTGCGAGGGCAAGAAGGCGGCTAAAGGAGTTTCGCCCGAGGCATAATAGGACTTTGAGGCCGAAGTTCATCCGGGCATTTCTCACATGGAGTTATCGCCGGAGCTTCCACAACAAGTAACGAGCATTCGAGAAGTTTGGCGCGCATCTGTTACAAAAAGGCGCAAACACGGAAGCGAGAAAAGCCGTAGCCGCTTGTCGGTATGGGCGGGACAGGGGATCGGGGATCGGGAGGAGAAGGGACTTCCATTTGCCTCCAGTACCACCAAGTCCACCGCGGAAAACGTAATAAGATTGGTCCCGCCACGTGGGGCTCTAATTTTCGAGCTGGCGCGCGATATTCGAACACGTTCACCCCGGGAGTGCAATGCGACTCGCGATGTCCCTCGCTCCTCCCCCGTGCAATTAAAATGTAAATTATCCCTTTTCGTATCCCTCCCACGTCCCTGTCGCCGCCGCCGCCGCCCCTCCTTCGCACTCATCTCGCCGCGCCACCCATCCCCCAAGCACAGTTAGTATTGCCTCTTTGCCTAACGCACTCGGTTGACTCTATCTTTCTCTCCTCCATCCTACCCTCGGCTCCTATCTATTCGGCTCTCTCTCTCTCTCTCTCTCTCTCTCTCTCTCTCTCTCCCACATTCGCACCGGATCCCACTCTATCTTCCTGTCATCCGGCTTTGGCTGTGTGGAAACGCCGACACCGTCACCGATTAACTCGAAACTAATTTACGAGTAAAGGCTGCTTTGTCTTGGCGCGAAAACACCTTACACCTTTAGTGCCTTAACAATGCCCCGTTTTTTTCAAATTTCGAATAATGCCGCACTATAAGGTCTAACATTTACATGTTAGAAAAAAAAAAAAAAAAAAAAAAAACTTCCATTATCATTGGAAACGCTATTCGAATTGAAATTCTTCTTGTTCCGAGGAGAAAATTACCCGCGGATGTCCAACATAAAAGGACAGAAAATACTAACGTGATTATAAAACTTGGCATTGTTTTAATTGTAAAATGTCAATTTGTGGAGATTTTATTTAGAGAATTTTTCATTTCATTTCGATTTCCATTCAAATTCATCGATTTGATTTTTATTAAATTTACAAAAATTAAAAAAATTAATAGTCCTGCTTCATTTTACTCATTACGTTGACAATTGCTAAGCGAATTATAATATCAACCGCCGTGACGATTATATTAAGAGGAATTTGAGCCGAGCGCAGAGAGTCGCTTAGAAGGAGAATTATTTTGAAATTTTAGCAATATTAATACTACTATATTTTTACAAAATGTCAAGTCGTACGCGATTCAAATTCAATAAAACTTAAATCCGACACAAGTGTATTGCAATTAATTTTAGAAAAATTTGTTTAAACTTTATGCTAATTTGTGGTAAAATCGTCGACTTGAATTATATAAACAATATCTATGCACACTCTCGATGCGTTGATAATATTAATAATATTCATACTACTAATTAGTCGTCCATAATGATTTGTTACGAATATTATGATAATAATATTCCAACAAAGTAATCACACGTACACGCTAATATCTGACAGTTATTAACAATTATTAATAAATTAATGAGCGTATTAAAGTTAAAACGCATGGTAAGTATTGAAAAAATTTATGCGATAATTTGAAAAGAAAATTAATTTTAATGAAATGTAATTTGTACTTGACGACCGAACTCGAGCATCGTGTCTTAACAAACCGACATACAGAAAATACACGGGTAATCGGGAATATGCAAGTGTGCATTAAAATTGCTAATAATATCAATTATCAAAATATTGTGGAAAGAATTGTAAACGATAGCTTCGCGGAAACTCTCGCTCCAATGCGACACTCGAAGACTTATTTATTATCAAAAAAAAATATTTTTCAACTTTGATTACCCACGGCGATAACCACCACCGCCTCGTAAAAAACGACAAACTGTCGGTTTGATTAATTACGTTTGCTACGTCATACGTACGGCATACGGTACATCTTGTGGTGAAACATCGTGATCTCCCATATAATAAGCCAATGCGCTATTCCAATGCACTCCACATTGATAAGACCTATTTGTCACTCGCTCGCGACATTAAAAAATTATCTCGCGATTAAACGAGCGAGCGAGCGCTCGAGCCCACACTGAAAATCCCTTTTTAAGCATTAAACAAGCAAGCTGGTCTTCCCTCGCCTCGCTGCAGATCCTGCCATAACAGAGGCATTATTTATGAAAGCCTATGAATATGCCAAGGAGGACTCGCGCGGGGATATAATGGGGGCGCCATTCGCGCAAATGACCCTCGGAGCTCGACTTTCGTGAATCGGATGAGGCGACGAGAAGCGCGGGCCACTCGAGAATGTCCTCCCACGACTCGGCACTTAACAGAGAGGAAAAGCTCTTGGAGGACACGCCCAAAAAAAAAATAATATAGTTCCGTCATAAAGGACCTTCGAGGACGTTCACCGGCACGTTTTACGACGTGGAAATGGTGCGCGTTGAACACCTGACACGATAAGGCCGCCAGCAGCACTGGACCCGGGGGAACAACGAGTGGTAGGACGAAAGCGTTTCGGACCTTATTTGACGCTCCCAATCCTTATTTGACAACGAGTATCTTTAAATACAAGATTTTTACGGTACCTCGGCTGCATCTATATCCCCGGCACATTAAAGCCAAATCTAAGATGGCGAGATTTATTTGATGGATTTGTCGAGTGTCAAACGCTAGCTACTACTCGTCATGTAAAACTCGATGCTAAGAGTAACAAATGATTTCCTATTAAATTATCTGAATAATCATTGGGGAAAGAAGATCGAAGAAAAGAGCATCGACGGTCGTTATACATAATCGAATAGGATTCTAATAATTGCATTATGAATTAAATAATTGGTCGATGCAACATTCAAGCACATAATAAAAGAGATTGAGAGGAGATGGAGCCAAGGTAAATCCTAAATGAAGATCAAAATTTTTTCTCTACATCGATTGTCCTTAATCCGACTAGGATAATAAATAGTTAAGCACGATATCTAAAGCACTAAATTAATACTCCAAAATAATAATCATTCCTACGACATTTTTATCGTTAAACTATTACTTACTTATCACTGTGCGTTACACTCGTAGAGACGAATGTATGAATCGAAGCTGTTTCTATTTCATTATCGAAACGCTACTTCTTCTCGGGCAAAATTTAATTCTATTAACTCCATCATCCGCTAAGAAATGTGAGTGAAAGGATTCGTTAAAAGGTCCAAGCGGAATATCCATTCGTTTTTTCTAATTTCACTTGTCCAAATGTATTCCAATAAATCCGTTAATTTATTCATTTTTCTCCCTAAAAAACAACTCCCTCCACCCATCCACTTGAGTATTTATTTATTTACCCTTTCATTTTAATGTTTAAAATATACGATAATAATTTGCCATTTTGCTATTGATCGATATCAATAGTAAGAATAATAAAAAAAAAAAATATATATATATATATATATATATATAGAAATAATAGAAATAACAACAATAACAACAATATTTTATGCTCATCCGCGCCAGTACTCCATCAATTAAGAATCAAGTGTTTAC